CAAAATTTGAAGATTTCCTTTACCTCATAATTAAAAAGGCTTAGCCCCAGCAAATTCAGAATTGTTACAGTGAACCCAGAAGACAAAGGGACTCTGGTGATCAGAACAGTTGAGCTGCCACAGTGCAGGGTTCCCAGTCTGGACATTGACTGCACACCCACTAAACTCAGAGAACTGACGTTTTGCAAGGACCTTATTTTCAGCATTTTTGTTCATTATGCATGACTGGAAAATGTGGTATTTCTAGGAAATACAGTTGCAGGGGGTTCACGTGGAGAGTTCTGCCCACAGAACTCGGCTCTGGAGCCCTGCAGAAATACCAACACGATGTGCGGTGAGAAGCACAGATTTACAGCACAGTGACTACAGAAATTATAGTTTATTCCAAACAAACACTGCATTACAGAATAGAAAGACTTATTATAAGGAAACAAAGCTCCCTTTAAAAGAAACAGAGGCAGAGGGACAGGGGATTGTGTCCGGTTGGCACAGAGAAATGCTGTCAAGGCAGGTCTTGCTGCTGTCGGCTCTACCTCACTGCATCACCCTGTTAGCCTGCCACTCCTGTGCACCATATCTCCCCTGTCATGCTAATTTATCCTCATTCACATTCATCTTTTCTCCTTGTGGTATCCTCTGCTAAACCAACCCCTTGTCTTAACCACTCCACACCTGTGATAACCACCACCTCTCTCTAAACCCATCCTCGCGGGTCACCGTCTTATAGGCTTCACAGCCTTCTTTACCTCAGAAACCAATCAAAACTCTGGAGCAAAAGTCTGTCCGCTCAGAGGAATTTCAGATAAGATGAAGTAACCGAGGCTCAGGCAGAAGTACAGGAAGCCAGAAGAGAAATTCCGTGTCTCTCAGGGTAAAAGGATCCAGTCCAGCTATGGCAGCTGCTTTGACTTCCCAAGCCCAGCAGATCCCCGCTCAGATACTGATGCTGTTCTTCCCTGAGAACTGGGACACGTAGGAGGCCAGCACGGGATTGGTCGGCAGCACCTTGATGGGCAGGTCCCAGCTAAAGGTGTCCACGTCCACGTGCTCAGCCCCCGTCCACACGGTGACCTCCGACTGGTTCTGCAGCACGATGGCCGGCTCCACGGGCTCGCGGGCCGTGACGAACTCGAAGTGCAGACGCCAGCGCAGAGAGACTGTCGGAAGAAAAACACAAGAGCGATGAAAGCTTATAGCCACTGTGGAGCGAGTGCAGAGGCTTGGGCTGTGCTTGTGTAGCAGTCTCTCTCAGAGAGAGAGAGAGAGAGAGAGAGAGAGAGAGAGAGAGAGAGAAAGGGTGCAGAAGGAAGGAGAACTGGGCTGCAAGCTGCCTGCTCATGAAGGTATAGCTCTTGAAATGTTTCTGTGTTGTATGCCAGTATTTTAACTTCAATTTCTACTCTTCAGATATCCCTCGATTTAGGAACGTCATTAGTTCCATTAAAAAAATATTCCTAAGGCAAAAATTCACAAATCAAAAATTAATTCCCATACGATTATACGTAAGTCCTTCGGACTGATTCTCAAATCCCAGAAAAATCACAAATTTTCAAACTTATTTATGTGTATTTAAACCATCACTTTTTTAAATGCCTTTTTTGTTGATAACCGAGTGTTAAAGCCGAGTTACAAGTAACCTAACAGAGCACTTTCCATATTGTTCAATGATGTGTACGTTGTACAGTAGTTTTGGTATTTAAAGTAGTAAACGACTTACTAAACAAGCAATACATGCAACAGCTTTCTTTAGTAAAACCTTCATTATTAATGTAAAAAAGTTAAAAAATAAATTAAAATGAAAGAATAAATTAAAGCCCCAGAGCTTTTAAGTGCTAAAATCAAGGTCTGATTAAAGAAAGGTGAAAATGAACACTCACCAGAAAGGTGACAATCGGAAAGCGGGAGTTGTGATAGAAGGAACATACTCCTTATAGCAAAATCAGTCCAAATTTAATAAAATATGAATAACTTAGCACACTTCCTTGAGGTAAAAACTCATAATACGAATGTAGTGGATGACAAAGGATGCTTTGCACCGATGTGTATTTTGTTTTTTATAGTGAAAACTTTGATAGTATTTCACAAAATGGGTATTCCTTAATCAGTTGTCCACAACTCTAGGGATGCATGTATTTGTTTCAGACCTGCTCAGCATTATTAAATATGAATCGGCTGACCGATGTCTGTGCTGAAGCCTGGGGTGGCATTGAGTGGGACAGGCAGGGAGAAGTGGCTGGCTGCGGTGTGCAGACAGGCCTCCTGGTGCCGGGCGTGTCCAGTCACACTGGCCGGCTGGCCGGGCCGGCGCTGGTACTGAGGCTGTACCTCCTCCTCGCTCTGCAGGGTCACGGAGTACTGAAACACACACACAGACACTGTCACTTTCTCTACACACGTGCACCCTTGTGCTCCACCACAAACACAGGTGACCTCACTGACATCTACTTAGATACCAGCGTAACCACCAAAAATGTCGGGCAATTTCTAACATTAAAGACACAAAAGTTTCAAATATTTATAGAAATGGTAGAAAATGGTCTTGACATGGTTTAAACTCTAGACTACATCCCCGACAGTCTGCCATCCAATTACTAATCAGGATTGACCCTTCTGAGCTTCTGACATCACACTGTGCAGGGATATGTATACTGGGGAATTTGTGGGAAAGCAATCAACAACACAAACAAAATGTTAGGCAATGCAGTTAAAATGCATAATTTAAATTTAGGCTAAAATTGTATAATGAACTTGTAAGGGCTCATTTAGAATGTTGTTTACAACTGCAGTTATCACATTATGGAAAATATATTGTTTCTCTGAAATCAGTCCTGAGAAGAGCAACCAGATATATTCTGGGACTAATAAGAACTGCATACACTGACAAACTGAAGAAACTGAACCTTTGTAGTCTGGAACAGAGCAGACTACCAGGGGACCCATGACAAGTATTGAAAATCCCGAAAGGACTGACGTGAACCCAGTGGACTACTTCTGAATCAACAGTGACACACAAGAACACAAGTGGAAACTATGTGCAATTGCATTTAAAACTGGGAACAGGAGGTACTCCTTGACACCGAAAAAAACGTTGACACCCTTAGGGGAAAAAAAACAATGATACCTTTTGCTTGCATGTGTTTCTCAAACAATAAGCGCTGCTGAAGTAACCGTTACTGAGTAACTGAACCAGTTTTGTATTGTGTCTGTTAAATGAGCACCCTGTCCTGATGGACAGACTGCGACTCACCTGCAGACAGGGAATGTCCCCCTCAGAGAAGGTGAAGGTGCCAATGATGTCCTCTCCCAGCCGGTACACTGTCTTGAAGATGCAGAACTTGCCCACCTTCCCCCGGGCATTTGTGATGTTGAATAGGTCTGGGTGGCACAAGGCAGGGTCAGAGGTACACACAAACAGCCCAACACAGGCAGACCAGTCAACAGACATACAATCAGACAGAAACACAGTCAGAAAGAGCGGACATTCTGACAGTCAAACACAGCGACAGTCAGTCTGATGGACAGACAGTGGGACAGAGAAATGGCCAGTCTAATGACCAAAAAGACAGTTAGTTAGACAGAGAGCCATTAAGTCTGATGGTCAAACAGTTAGACAGAATGTCAGCCAGTCTGATGTACAGTTGGACAAGAAGTCGGCCAGTCTGATGGTCAGACAGAGAGCTGTTCTGGTGGTCAGACAGAGTCGCACAGATACCCAGGTAGGCAGTGAAACTGATTTACGGGGAGAGCGGCGGGAGGTGTTGTTCATCAGCAGGTCCATGGCTCTTTCCAACAGCCGAGAGTCACGACGCCCTGACTCCTCCTCCTCCAAGAAGGGGTTTGAAGGGGCCACCTCCTCATCTTGTGGGAACGGGGGCTCAGGAATACCTGAAGTGGAGGGTACAGCTTATGTCATTCACGTGCTCCATCACTAACATGCCATGTGCGCACAACACTGGAGATATCTCACCTCACCTTCATCAGATCACACCAGAGTGAGAGAACGAGCAGCAGACACACAGGAAGACAGCAGGGCATACTGAAGAACAGACATACACACAAAATCAGACAGACAGGAGGTGACAGGCAGCAGGTGGTATGGAAGTACGGACCGTGCAGCACCAGCACTCTGAAGGGCACCCTCAGCAGTTTGATTGGAGAGTTGACACGCTGGCAGCCGATGGTCAGCTTGTAGACATACTTCACTGACTGACCTCTGAAGGTCGGGGGTCCATCCACTGGCACAGTCTCACAGTACGAGTCTGGGACAGGAAACGTGTCTTTATTCTAGAGGTCTGTAAATGTTCTGTTAATTGATTCTGCTTTTGTAACACTGTAATTCATCAGTCATGCCAATAAAGCTTTTTCTGAAATTAATTTCGAGAGAGGATAATAACTGCATGGAGCAGCTGTGGGCTATCCTCAACTATCCAAATATCTGCCAGGGACTCCCATTACAGACTGGATTGAGCCCACTGCAGGTCTGGCAGGACTGTGTGAGGCTCCAGAGTAAACTGGAACTCTTTAATTAGGGAGCGTTTATTCATGTCTGGCTTATACAGGACAGAGTTCCATTTTCTCTTCTGTGCTCTGATCATTTGCATAGTTTGGCAGAGTTTTCTTTTCAATTTATGCACTGTACAATATAATACAACACTTTAATCTGATATAATAATGTGATATAAAACTGATGCTTTTCTTCGTACAAACTTCAGTTGAAATCACAATCACAGCTAATAAGAAAATAAACATGTTCAGTATTTGCTGTACTTTTTGGCTCAATCACACCCATAAAGCACTTTTTTTAAGTTGACCGAACATAGAGAGGCAGACACACAGATTTGTGACTCACATGTTCTGGACTCCCCTGGGTCCAGTCGCAGGTCACAGAACAGAATCTTTGGGGGAGTGTCCAGCATGCACTGCCCCCGCTCACCTGAGAGGGAATGCGACAGAGATAAGAATTAAATGTTGTCTTTGCACTTTAGCTGCTCAGTAAGAGTGCTACGAGTTATCAATAGAGAAACCATGTTCATCAAGCACATAAAAGGCAATGACCATGTATGTTCAATTAAAAAAAGACGAGAATAAAACAACAAGTAAAAAGCTATAAACAGGATTTCTCAAGAAAGGAAGAAGGTAACAGAATCTAATCAGGAATTTCTGATTCTCGACTAGCCTGGAAGATGGGAAGTAGGAAATTTTCTGATCACAATGACAGAGTTTCTACAGTACTGACATGCAGCCTAACTATACACTAATTCCTTAAACAATGTCTGCTTCAATGACGGCTTCTCTTTGTCCCGCATATTTATCTTTACAATGAGAATCCTATCACACAGTGTGGCCTATAGAGAACACCATCAAGTCAAATCTGCTTCAAGTTCATTCAAGACATCCTTACAAACATGCAGAAAGACAAGAGAGAACTAAATATCTTAATATATAACACCTGAGAACTCCTGCTGAATAGGAATATATGGGTGAAACAGATTTCTTAGCAATGGTACTCAAAGGCATAGGGACCTATAATGAACATATCATTTTATATACACAGAGATTATTAAAGATAGCGAATAGCTTTAAAACATGGGGGACTAAGATTAACTTGGTAATAAGACTTGGCTGTGTTACCTAAGAGAAAGCAGGAGAATATCATCAGCACAGAGTGAAAGTGATGTTTGGTCTATGAATGTAAATTAGAGTGATGTTGGTATGATACTGCATGTGCTAGGGGCTCTAATGCCGGGAAATGAAATGAAACTAATGGAAATAATGGGAAGTTTTTTTTTCCGCACAGAGATTTATGATCACAGACCACCTCCTTACAGCCCATGCAAACAGCAACTCTCCGTCCTCTCACCTCGGCTGGAGATGAGCACAGTGTCGCTCTCTGCCTGCACATCCTGCTTGGCGCCCTGGCTGGGGAGTGCCACCCGGCTCTCACTGGCATGAAACTGACAGTGGATCTGGGCACTGGCCCATGCCAGCATCTCACTGAGAGGACGAGAGAAGGGAAGAGATTCGAGGAGAATGTAGAAACTAGAGCAACTCAGTTCTGGGCACCACTCCCCTTCCTCTCCAAACCCCCCCGCAGTTCAGCCACTCCTGCCTCCTTCACTATGGGCAGCGGCATTCTGGAAAGCCCTGCTGCTAGGACACCACTCAGAGAGCATTAAAGAAGCTCACAGGTCTGTGCTGGAGCAGAAACACAGTTTCTCCTGAAGATGGCGAATACAATCATCACATCCAGAGAAACAGACAGAGGGAAGTGTAGAGGAAAGGATGGCAAGAGGTGGGACAGGAGGTTAAGAGTTTTGGTCTCCAGATGAGTTGTACAAAATAATACTCCACTGCATTCTTCAATGTGTGGTCGTCACTGCAAATGAAGTGAGAAACAGGTGTGATCGAGCCGATGCTGATAAGACCCTTGTGAGTTCTAGAGAAAGAAAGAGCTGAAGAGCAGAAGAAAACGAGGAGGGAGGTTACCTGCTGGCGGAGGTAGACAGGTGAGACATGGGGTTGGTGAAGGTGATCAGACACTCCAGCATCTCTCCAGCCAGGAAGACTGGCCCCCGGGACAGAGAAGCCACCACTTCAATCATCTGAAACACAGCAGCACTGTGAGCCAGTTACACACAGCAACGCCGGACAGCACCGGGCATATACTCAGGCTCTTGCACAGCTTTCACACTGTTGCTTTAAAGCCATGACTCCTTGAAGTAGCAATTTAAATTTTTATCTACACAACCCATGCCACACATTCACAGCGAAAAACAAGAAGTAAATGGATACTATAAAAGAAAATATTCTCATGGAAAATGCATGATTGCATAAGATTTGCCATGCATAAATTAATTTTGGTGCATAAAATTACTATGAAACACACAATTAACTGAGTGGCCTTTCTCTGTGCGCTATTAAAGTGGATCACATGACTTCAGAATAAATACACCTGTCTTTGTAATGTCCTTTAGCCAGGCAGTGAATTTCATGTAAAGATTCAAACATAAAAACTAAGGAGCTTTAAAAAAAAACAGGGATAAAGTTGTGGAAATGCACAGATCAGGAGCAAGGGGGAAGCTGGTTAAGGATGTCACTGTGAGGCCAAGAGAGACTAAAAAAGCTACAGAGCTCAATTATTTTTTTAATTAATTAAACAAGATATTTAAAATTGGGATGAAAATTCACCTCTGAGGAGGACAACGCTCCAAAGCAAAAGGCCAGAGCTACGCTAGAGTATTTTAAGGATAAGGAAGTGAATGCTCTAGTGCTTTTTCACTCAGAGAAATGAGTGGCGCAGAGCCAGAGTGGCCCAGTCAAAGTCTTGAATTCTGAGAATCTATGGAAAGATTTGCAAACTGCTGTCCATAAACAATCCTTAAGCAACCTGAGACAGTTTGACCAAATCTGAGAAGAAACAGAAAGACCTGTGGCTTTAACTGCAGTCAAAGGTGCTTCTACAAAATATCGAGTATTGGTCTGAATATTTATGCAATCAACATATTTCATTTGTTTCTCTTTGATATTTCGTTGATATTTACTGTAACGCCTCCTACTCTTAGACTTTCAGCACTAGTTCAGTTTTTTAATAAAAACCACTTAAGGTAAAAACTGGTATGCATCATTTTGTAAACACGAAACACCGTAGAAAGAGTCTGAATATTATGCACTGTAAATAAACACAACTCTGTATTGACGCTGCAAATACAATAACAACTTGTACTTAGACACAACAACACTGACAGACGTGACATTTTGTTATACGTACCAAAGACACTGCACCACACACACATTGTAGACAGTGTGCGGAATGTATCTTACACAATCAAGTCTCATCGCTGCCGTTGTTTTAACCCTACCCCTTTATCTGAGCCCACAACTCACATTATCCCCAACAAAAGCATTAATCTTAAAGATTGCATTTATCCCAGCCTGGGGTGTAGCACATTCCTCGGGTACAGTACTAAGAAGCAGAACAGGTCTCCGGGCAATCGACTCTTCCCTCAAACACCTCTGTGAGGCTATTTGTGTGTTGGTTTGAGTTGCCTTCCTGTGCTGTGCTATTTATTTGTATGGCTCAAAGCGGATGCCAGTTGCGAGGACACCTAGTAGCCTTGCGCTGTCTGCAATATCGGCCAATGGAGCCAGTTGTAAACAATCCGCGGAATGAGTACCGCGGTACCTTAGCAATCAGCGTCAAGTGGTCTGGTGTCACCTCGCAGTGTCCAGCTCAGTCTGCTTCACTTTGCTGGCTCGGTCCAGTCCGGTGTCATTACAGTTTGAAGTAGTTCTTTGCCATTTTGGGCTCCAGGTTCAACCGGACGACATAGACCCTGTGCAGACAATAACAACAGCTCCACTCTGCTGAACTACCACAAACCTTCCCTGGATTTTTCCAGTCCTCATGTCGCCAAAGCAGAGAAACAGTTACAAAACAAAAATTAAGAATCCACCATTTCCGAACATTACAAACATTCCCTTGCATAGTGAGTAAGGCGGGGATAATGTATATACGTAAATTAAGAGTACTGAATGAATTGACCAATTTTGTGTGTGCACAACTAAAACATATTGCACTTGCTTTAAGAAATAACGGTTTCTCAGTTTCTGTCACAGGGGTTTCTAATAAGCTAAGCTGTTTTGTATGGTAAATGTCTGTTAATGTTTTTTACTGATTGCTAATCCTTTGTTAGTACCGCAATATAACTCTTTTAATTTGTTTATCGCAGTTCTGATACCCTCGGATCTGAGATCTGCTGCTGGAGAGAGATACAGTAGCAAGGCTAATTATAATGATTTATCCTGTCACAAGGGTGATCGCGTCCAATTTCAGGGAAACTCTCCAGTCGGCCAACAGACATGGCTCCGTGGCATCTTAACGTCATGGGCTGTGAAAATCAACTTCACGTTACAGGGGGTGCTAAGAGCATAAGAAGTACTAGAGTTACAGTTTAAGTATAAGCACAATCGACGGTAAATTTCCTTGAACTAATAAATTAATTATAACTAAAAAAAATAACTATTTTATTTGCACACATAATTAAATGAGATCAAATATACTGTTAACATAAAATCCCTGCGTTCTAGGTGAGTTGCGCTCTTCCATACAGGTAGGACGAGCAGACAGAGCTGCGGGTCTGAGGGGTGGTCGCCGGTTCAGCCTGGCTTGATAACACCGACATCCTAAACAGAACGGGCTTACGTGGTCACACACATTCGATTACCGTGATTAAAATTAGTAACCATATGATTCAGTGTGTGGCGCTGTCGGAGACTGTGGGTCAGGCCTTTATGCTCCTCCATGTCCTCCCCAGTTATCTGGGATAGCCTGTGCCGCGATCCCTGCAGTTCAGCTTGACCCCAGAGACAGCTGTTCCTGCGGGAAGGCTTGCCGGGGGGTTTGGCGCAGAGGGCATTGTCTTCAGCCTGAGCAATACGGCTGGGGATATTAAAGCCAAGTTGAATTTAATTTTAAAGAGTAATGACACGCAGCCGTGGACGCAGGGCCAGGGACACAGGCTCCCACAGACGGCAGCGTCCGGGCCCTTGAGCTGCCAGCGCTCGGCGCCAGAGAAGCGGCTGAAACAACAACAGCTCAGCCACAGCTGCAGTGCGGGGTCTCCCGCGGCCGTCGCCGCAGTGTCGAGCACCATCCGCACAGAGTGCCGAGCCGGGGCCGGGGCCGGGGCCGAGGCGGAGAGGATGGACAACTCTGTGTTGCATTGCGTCACATGATGTGTTGAGCTTGAAATTGCCGTGGCGGTGCTGCCCGGTGCGGCCATGCAAATACAGGACCGTTTCATGTCATGATATTTCAATTTACTTGCAGAGAGTGACACGGGGACTGACTGCATGTGCTAGCGCGGCAGGCGTGTGCGTGATCCACGCCCACTGTACACACCGACAACAGGTCGGACCGGTGCTGGCTGACTCTTAATTAGAGCAGCAGTTGTTAGGCGCAGGAGTGAGCTGGGCTCCTCTGTGTCTGTCCGGCAGTGCACTGTAGTCGGCTTTATCGATGATCAATTATCATTAATTCGGATTTGCGCAGTCGGCGCTGGTTGTGATGAAGTGCGCAGCGTGTCGCTCTCTCTGGGTGCAGCAGGACAATCGACACGGAGGCCTCGCTACATAAAACCGGCGCCTACAGCCGAGGTTCAAGGTTTCGTTGTTTTTTATAGTTCAGTTTCCTTGTTATCGGTAGCTGCAATGCATCACAGACGTGTCACCACGCCTGTGGCTGAAGGCGCTGCGGTCCCGTATAGCTAAACTGCTGGGCTCTGTCGCTGTTCGCCCGGGAGAGGCGTGTGACAGTGGGAACAGAGAGGGACAGAGAGTTGTTTACACAGTGAACGCCTGCGGTTGACGGGAATTCCCACTGCCGTATCCATTGCCTGTTCGGCGGCCGGGGTTTCGAGCGCGTTCCGCAGTGATGGAGGCGGGGGACAGCGGCTCCACGGCCGGGCTCATGAGCCGGTACCAGGGTTCGGCCCGGGGGACCGGGGTGCCGGAGGAAGGCTGGCGGATCTGCCTGGCGCACGAGTTCAAGGAGAAGAGGAAGCCCTTCCAGGCGCGAGACGTGTCGCTGGCCAACATAGTGGAGCACCTGGGGCTGGGGGTCAGGTGAGGGGGCTGGTCCGTCTGTCACTATTCTTCTCTCCGTCTGTCTGCACAGCAGGTGCCCGAGCCTTGCTGCTCCATAGGTGCTGGCTGCTATTCTGATTAAATCTGCGTGAACAGTCAACAGGAGTAAAAGGGATATATTCCTTGACTCTGCCAGGCAATGTGGTCTGCTACAGAAACTGGTTACACAAAGCAATTGAGAGCACATGTGCTGTGGAACTGGAGCGGGTGGACGAGCTGACGGCTGTCAGCCTGGTGTGTTCGGGGGAGAGGTGTGGACCCAGAGTGGCCTGGGCAGAGTCACCAGACTGGGGACACAGGGTGAGGCCAGCAACCCAAAGATTAGGATGAACTGATTAGGAAATTAGTGCATTCCAGTCTGACAAGGCACTCCTTTGTGCAGGAGTGTTGGGGACTCTGGTACAGGCTGCCTAGCCAGTGGCTGAAGCAACAGTGTAGCTCAGTGAGGCTTTGAATGCAGAGAACCACAAGAAAGACGGGTTAAAATACCTCTCGGTAAAACTTGCATTCCTCTCAATTCAGTGGCCTGCATGCCTGTGGCACGATTAAATATGCTCTTAGACACTTGATTATTATTTCATATATCTCCAGACACAGAAATGTGTTATAAATGTAATTGGTGAAACACTATCTGACTTCTGGTCCTGGTCTGCCACACAGTGGGACTGCTGAGCTTCACTCACATGGGGGTAGATGAAATATATTCTGCTGATTTAAAGCAGAGGCTTGTTCTAGAAATGAAATTATGTGACTGAGACAATGACAAACAGGCAGCCTGTGGGTGGTGTGCAGAAGTGGTGTGTTCAGGAGGATCTCCGTGTACAGCAGCTGCACCTTGAAGAGAGAAGGTGTGGGTTGTGTGTCTGGTGGTGTGTGAAGTTAAGAGTGTGTGAGAGGGCAGAGTGCTGTGGTTGTCCGGGCAACGTCCACAGCACATGTGTGGGAGTTTTGTCAGTGTGGATTAATGAGTGACAGGGAGATAAACAGTTCCAGAGCTAGGGCAATAAAACTGGTCTACGAAGCATTAGTGTTCCTGCAGTTAAGGGGAGGAAAAATCAAAGAACTAAATAAGAAGATTATTGAAATGAAAATGTGTTCTAAGAGATAATTGGCATTGGTTTATAAGAGTAGGCTGTACCTAAATAAATCTAGCGGGTTACTTTAGCAAGAATCTAGTGCACTAGACAGCTTTCGGGAGTCGGGCACAATATAGGATACTTTCAGAAAGATTTTGATTGATACCACATGAAGCTCTGCCTACGAGCTTACAGTTCCAAGATTTCAATGTAAACAAAAGTACGCATGGAAAAAAAAAACACAACAAAAACATAAAAGAGAGGGGAGTAGTAATAATAGCTGTTCCCTCAGATTGAGGCCTTCAGTGAAGCAACACAGGGCTTAGTTGTGAGAATGCTGTTCTTGCCAATCTGGTTTTCTCATCTGGACTCTGCAAAAGTGAGTAAAGGTCAGATCCACAGGTGCTGTAAAACTAGGTGCAAACAGTCTAGCAACTGGTGCAAGCCGTATCAGGAGACTGACAAAACACAGGAATGGACAAGGCCTGGCAAATGAAATTTGAAGTGGATTGAATGTAAAGCTATAGACACGGGGAGCAGGGAGAGGAAATCCCAGTATCAGAAGGGTGGTATGGAGCTGAAAGGAAGAATGTAGGAAGAAAATCTAGGAGTTTACATCGACTCAGCCCACACTAAATACTGCGGGAATGCAACAAAGAGGCCAACTAATGTTTATATACATCTGAGTGCATAACTAACAGTATGCACATAAACACTAGACTATACGAAAGAAGTCATGTTAAAAGCATTCAAGAAAATCGTTAGACCTCTCTTTGGAATATTGTGTTCAATTTTGGTCAACATTTTACAACAAAGTGCTGCTCCAGAGCCACAGTAAAGGAGAGCCACCTAGACTCCCTCCAGTCTGAGGGAAGGGAAGGCTAGGAGGATTGCATACTAGGACAGGCCAAGGGAGTGGAATCTCCTAATGATTTTATGTGTCACAAGCAGTGGTGCCGACATTGAAATGCGAATTAAAGATATCATCAGCAAAGGGCATTATTGAGCAGAAACACGTATTCCAGAATCGTGATATCTGTGTATTCATTCGAAGTGCGATTCAAAA